CAAAGTGTGATGTGGTGGAAAATAATATGTGTGAAACATTTAACTCATGGATTGTTGGTCCTAGACACAAATCTGTGATTAGTATGCTTGAAGATATTAGGCATAAAATGATGGATAGGCATGGAGATATGATTAAGTTTGCAGATACTTGGATCAGTGACAATTCACCTATGGCAAGACTGATTTTAGAAGAAAATAAAGAGATTGGCAGGGCACTAAGAGTGAATTGGAATCATGACATTGGATTTGAAATCCAAGAAGGAGAGTATAGACACATACTTGACATGACTAAAAAGACATGTAGTTGTAGGTTGTGGTAGTTGAGGGGCATACCTTGCCAACATGCAGTTTGTGCCTTATATCATATTGGGCAAGAACCAGAAGATTATGTGGAACATTGGTACAAAAAAGATACATTTCTAAGTGCATATAAGTACTTTTTACAACCCATTTTCAATATGGTAATGTGGCCTGACACCAATAACCCACCAGTTGAGCCTCCTGAAGTAAAGCCAATGCCTGGAAGACCAGGTAGATGTAGAAGAAAAGATAAAGATGAACCAAGAAAAAAGAAGTGGGGTAAAACATCAAAGAATGGAGTGAAGATGTCATGTTCCAAATGCCATCAAGTTGGGCATAACAAAAGAACCTGTATATCAGTGGTAAGTACTTGTCTTTCTTTTAAATTTTAATCAGTTTTATACTTCTAATTGTGTGTCTTTACAGTCTTCTGAACAACCCACACAACAGCCTGCAAGGCCCTTTCAACAACCACCAGTGAGGTAGCCTTCACCACCACCATTGAGGCAGCCTAGCACTTTTATGTGCAGATACTTCAAAGGTTAAAGGAAGGAAAAAAAAGCAGTCAACTGCAAGGGCATCATCTTCTTCAGTTGCATGTACATCATCTTCTTCAGTTGGAATGCCACCACCTTCTTCAGTTGGTAGGCCACCAACTTCTTTAGTTGGAATGCAACCAGCTGCTTCAGTTGGAAGGAAAAGAACAAGAGATGTGGGATTTGGTGTTTACACAGACATACAATCTGGAAGACAAGTGATTGACGTATGTATATTGCCAGCTTCTTTAATTGATTTCCTTACATTAGGTATACTAAATAATTCCCTATGAATTATGCAGCCAGGAAGATCAAGTGAAAGAGTTATCTCAAGTGGAACAGGGGTGACATTTAAAGATGCATCACAAACAAATGTTGATCTTGGATTCAAGCCACCTAGTTTAAAATGGAAAGGAAAAGATGCAATGACCGGAAATCAACTTCAACAATTGTCAAAGAAAAAGGTGCAAAGCAAATCCAAGGGAAAGTGGGTTCCATAAGAGCTCAAAGTCTTACTGATGTGTATTAATGTTGATCTAGGAGGTCTTTGTTTTTGTTTATTTTGGTAACTGTTTGTAAAGGCATACTCCAATTACTGATCATTTTGATGTATTTTGGGTTATTTTGATGTATGTTTGCATAGACAAATATTTGGAGTTTGTTAAGTTGTGTTTAATTAATATTAAGTTGTGTTTTGTGAAGCCTTTTGGTGTTTGTTATGATTGATATTAAGGCTGCCTTGATGTTAGGTGTTTACGTAGTATGAAAGTGTGTGAATAATGCTATTCGATTGTAAAAGTGATGAATATTGAAGCCAATGTTGAAGACAAACTGTCAACTCTAAAACTCTAAAAAGTGCATTTCAATCCATTACTTTGATTTCTTAAAATACATATTGACAGCCCCTAACCCATAAAGAAAGCTCTACATAACAATTCTGGCATAATTTTTTCAACCAGTATAATAACAGCCTAACATTTACTACATAAAGAACTCTCTATAAATCCAAGATAGTATCACAATGATAAGCAAAAGTCGATGTTTTCTCCTAATCTTTTCCTTTTCTTCATCATGTTTTTTTATTCTCTTTTGTAATCCCGAAATAGCAATTCTATCATGTTCAGTATAATCAAGTTCACACCACCTAAAAAACTTGCAACCAACCTGTTTAAGAAGAACAAATTCACTATCAAAATTGAATCTTCAGAACTAAAATTTAAACAAAAAAAATATGTTTTAAACGGAACCATACCCGACCATCTTCACATCCAAGAAACCAACGACCTGGATTGTTTGCAGACCAAGAAATCTTCATTATAGCTCTTTTTTCACAATGACAAAAAAAATTAGAAGCCATTTACACAAAATATGAGCACAAATCGTTCTAAAGAGGGAAAAAAATTTTGATTTGAAAGAGGAGGAAAGAGAAATTAGATTTTAGGTAAATTTTAATTTGGAAATATAAAGATATATATAAAGGGAATTCATTAAGGGTATTATTGTCATTTCTGCTTTTTTTTTTTACCGTTGTGGGCCTTTAAAATAGTCATAACTAGCGCAAAAAACGTGCATAACACGCGTTTTGCCATATAGGATTCGCGTGTGTATTTATAAAAAAAATAGGATAGTTAAAGTGCCTATTTGTGCACTGTGAAAGTTTGAGGTCATACTTAAAACGGACAAGGGCCTAAAATACCCTTGTCCCGAATCCGTTTCACTTCATTCTTCCCCAAGCGAAAGTATTGAAAATGGTACAAAAATACCCTTCATCCACCTATTGGCTCCAAAATGCCTTTTTCATCCACCTATTGGCTCAAAAATACCCTTGTCATCCGCCTTTGTGTTCAAAATTGACCACTTTTTTAATTGTTTTAAAATTAAACTCTTTAAATATTTTTTAAAATACTTGGCGTTCAATTATTGATTATAATTATAATTTATTAATATAATTTATAAACCAAACCACTACACACTCATTACTAACTATACCTCACCCAATTAATAATTCAATTATAATATCAAAATCGTCATAAACACTACTAAAACACGATGAAATTATAGATTTCTAAAAATGACATTCAAAATTATTCGAGTCCGAATCGGAGCCCCAATTAAATTTAGGTTGAGCCGCTTATTTAGGAGGACACTTTCTTTCAAAATAGAATTAGAAATTTATGATTAAAGGTAAAGAAGTAATACATCCCGGATTGATTCATGCACTTTTTTTAAAGATAATTTTATAAATATTTATGATTTGTTTTAAAACTTTAATATATTATTTTGAAAAAAAGTTACCAATGAAGTAACATCACATAATTGAGACGTAAGAATAATTAAGATAAACATAGTCAGACTTTTAAGTTTATTGGTGATTTTTATTTAGCCACTTGAATGTATGATAATTTACTTCTATAATTTTTAAAAACACTCAATTGGCAGTAACTTGCATTAATAATGTGACGGGTTCATTAATTTAGAGGGATTTATTTATTAATGGGGTGGGTAGTGGATTGATTTATAAATTATACTAATAAGTTAAATTATAACATATAGTTGAGCACCACGTATTTTAAAAAATATTTAAATAGTTTAAATATAAAACCGTTAAATAAGTGGTCAATTTTGAACCAAAAGGTGGATGACAAGGGTATTTTGGACCCAATAGGTGGGTGAGAAGGGTATTTTGGAGCCAATAGGTGGATGGAGGGTAATTTCGTACCATTTTCAATACTTTGAGGGTATTTTAGGCCCTTTTCCGTACTTAAAATTCGAAGCCAAGTTTAAGGGCAAATCTATGTATTATACCTTTGATTTATCTTTGTTAGTTTAATATAAAAAATTAGAAAAGGCTCAAAAATACTCTTAAACTATTTGAAATAGCTCAAATATACCCTTAAACTATCTATTTTCCTAATTTTCCACTCATTACAACAACATTATCTTAGTTTTAGCTTATTTTTGTTCACTTGTTCAATTTGGCGAGAGGTGTAAGCACCGCGAGGTGTGAAGCGATCTCGTACTAAACGAAACGGCTTTCACTTTCCATAACAAAAATGAAAGAAAGTCAACCTATTCCTGAAATTGCGGTCAGTCTCGCTACCTCTTTAGTTGCCGCCCCCTACTTGCTCATTCGCAATTACTAGTGGATTTAGTAGTGGCCACTGTTTGTTTAACTTTAGCTTCCAAATTATGGTGAATATTGTTACTGGATCATTAATTTACATTGATGTAACTGTCTAGAATAATTCTAACTAGCTAGGTAGAGGGTAAATCATGCAAATTCCTCAAATATAGTAAAATTAGCTAAAAGAAATGAAATACAAGCACCTAAACCAAATGCTAAGACACCTGTAAGTTCGTAAATTTTTAGCAGTTTTGTTATTACAAACAAGCTTCATATTTTTTTAAATTTTTGTGAGAAGTAATAATCAAACTTGCTACAAGTTATGTTAGGCATTAAATTTCTAGGTGTTACTTCCATTTTTAGTTGAAATTCTGTCATCATCTATGCATTTACAGTATAAGAACACTGAAAACTGACTTACTTCTTTTTTCCATTGCAGAATTATCTACTTAGGACTCTTTAATATGAATGGTTTCAGATAAGTTTTAATTCATCTAAGGAAAATGGAGAAATGAGTGGGAAATTAGGGGAATAGATGAAATTGTTTCTGACGAAAATGGAGAAATGAGGAAAAATTGTTTCTAAGGAAAAATTGTTTCCATGGAAAACATTTTCCTTCGTACCAAACACATCCTAAGTGAAAATGAATGAAATTGTGGTGTTTACATAGCATGTCATGTGGTATCCACGTGACATTTAACAGTTTCAGTTAACAAGAAGGGTATTTTGATTCAATAATATGACGGAAAGACTAGTTTTGAGTCGAAATATAATTTTGAGGGTATATATGAGATATATCAAATAGTTTAAAGATACTCTTGAACCTTTTTTGATAAAAAATAAAAGTATCGCACGTCAAGAATTTAATTAACTTGATATTCTTAATGAGATGAAAATTAATTAAAATAGTTATTTGAGTGATCGATTTCATATTTAAAAATCAAATGATATTTTACGAGGGACACTTATCTTTAATAAAATTTCAATTAGATTTCTGATATTTTATACCAATCTTACGCGTGTTACTCACTCTATCTTTTATCCTTGGTTTTTTTTTTCTCTTTCTCGCATATTTTTGAGTCAAAATTTTCTGTTTCACTGTTGTTAAGCCAAGACCGACATATATTGAACATTTTGCAAGTCTCTCGACGGCAGAACTCCGTGTTCCGGTGACCGGCCGGCGTTCTCATTCTGCCAGAATAATAAATTCCGACGGAATATCGAGCTGGCTTCCCATATCTGGAGACGCTTCTTCCCAGCTCGATCCCGACGGACGCCCGGTCTACTTCTGCCTCGAAATACTCCCACTCCTGCAATGGATCTCAATCCATTCAGGCTGTGTTCTGGACTCAAAGTTATTGGCTATTTCATGATCCTGATCGTTTTTGCTATCGTCGTACTTTCGTATTATGCCGTCGTCGTTCTTATCTGGGCTCCGCGTCTCCTTGATGGTGGCTTCACTTCCTTCTTATCTTTCACAATTATTATCATCTTTCATATCCTTGTAAGTTCTCATTCTTTTGCCTTTTTCTAGTTTATTTTTTTTTCTCTCTATTCACTCAAAATGGAATCTGTTATGAACATATATTGTATAGGACCATTTCATAAGCAACACACTTTGCATTATTGTGTATTACTTGGAAGAAGAGAGCATGTAAAACAGTGGTAGATGAAGAAAGAACAAAAGAGTGAAGTAAAAAAGGTAAGTTAAGGGGATAGGGAAAAAGAGAGGTACAACAACATACCCGGTGATATTCCACCATGAAGAGACTAGAGTGTATGCAGACCTTACCACTACCTTCTGGAGGCTATTTCAGGAAGACCCTTGGTTCGGGTGCACCAAATCCAAGTACTATGAAAGAAGAAAACACTGTAGAAAATGTAGCGATTAACATGTTGAACCAACAATATAGTGCAATAATCGCAACAGAGTAAACATATGACGATGCGAGATATCAAAAGTAAGAATACAATTATACTAGGTGATCTCTGGTTCAAAAAGCCAAAGACTATGAATAGGCTAATGCGATGAGAGGTAAATAAATGAGAATCGAGATAGCAAAGGTGCTATTAGTTGTTCTTGCTCCTATCTCTAGCCCAAATTGGACACAACATTGAGATGAGAATTAGAATGTTTATTTGATTGGTGTCAATTACGTAACTTGTACGACAGTATGTACTGCAGTGCTGTGTCGCTAAGAGAAAAGAGATCTTATAGCTTTTCATATTGTACTACTTCCTTCTTTCTGTGTCCATCTCAAATTAAACTAACATGACTTTGCTACTTGGACTATAGTTGCCAATGTTTACTCTTTGCTGTTAACAAGAACATGTTGGGGTGACAAAATATGTTCTTTGCTATTTGGAAATATTAGGAATAAACAAATTCATAAAGTGGAGCAGCGCGAGCATGTAACTTTTTGTGTTATCCTTTGCTTCAAATTGGATAACTCCCTTTGATTTTATTTTGTTTTGAAACTGGTAACATTTGTATTTCACATAGTACTTAGGTAGTACTGAAAAACCATATTTACAAAAGCAGAAATGAAGTATTATCTATCCAAGAAACTGAACCAAATCTAAATGGATCCTAAAACATCTATGATTGACGCAGTTTCATTGGAGTATACATTTGTACACCAAAAGCAGAACAACAAAATACACTTAAGCTAAACTTCCTGCAGGTTGTTGTTCCTATTCTCAAAACATCTCTCGTTTCTCTCCCTCCATATAGTCCACCAAATACTAGCAGGGATCATCCGCCATCTTTCTCTGTTTGTAGCCCCAACTCCAGCCATCTCCCAACCGAATAGAGTCTCATCAATCTTGCTAGGCATACACCAAGATATGCCTCTGAGATTAAGGAAAATCTGCCACAACAACGTAAGAAGAGATGTCTCATTAGCCTTTTGACACAAGGAACATCTGTTGCATAGAGAGATTCCTCTTTTGGCCACATTATCCAATGTCAAAACTACTTCCTTAGATAGTAGCCATGTAAAGCATGCCACTTTGTGTGGCACTTTGATCCTCCAGATTTACTTCCAAGGCCATTTGAAGTCTTGAATGCCACCGATACTTATCTGTTTGTATCCTTTTTTTCACCTTGTAACTACCTTTGTTGTGCCCCTGCCACCATAAATAATCCTCGCCTGTTTGTGTACCTTGAAAACTCTCTAGAACCTTAAACAATTCAAGTATTCTGGGAATTTCCCAGTCATTCAGATTTCTTCTGAAAATCAGATCCCAGCCTTGTTGTGTCTACTTTTCAGCGACAATCTTCTTCTGTTGGTGTTGAGCCAGTGTAAAGATGTCGGGGAAATGATCTTTGAGGCTTATACCACCCAACCGTTTATCAAACCAGAAACTGGTTTTTCTGCCATTTTGTACCTTCACAGTTGACTGATTACTAAGAAAGGGCCAATATATCAGACTGATTACCTCTTTGGTTACCCATTTATTTATCTCCTCATGCTTGTTGTTGATCACCCTATACCATAGTGCTTGGTCCTCCTGATGGTACCTCTATAACCATTTCACCTTAAGAGCTTTGCTATGGTTTTTGAGATTATTGATACCTAATCCACCTTGCATCTTACTTATGATGATGTTCTTCCACTTGACTAAGTGAAAGCCTTTTCTTTCCTTATTTCCTTGCCACAAGAAGTTTTTTCTAATTTTGTCCAACCCCTGAACTACTGACTGGGGAATATGGAAGATAGATAGCATATATGTAGGGAGAGCATCCGGAACAGAGTTTATCAGTGTTAAGCTACCTCCCAAGGAGAGGTATTGTGATCTCCATCTGGCTAGTGTCTTTTCATATTTCTCCACTATTGGGTTCCAAATGTCTATGGCTCCAAACTTTGCCCCCAAAGGCATGCCCAAGTATACTGATGGCAGAGTACCTATCACTCCTCCCCAGGTTTGTGAGAGGTGTTCCATATTCGGAACCACATTAATTGGATACAAATGACTCTTGTTCCAGTTTATATGTAGTCCAGACATGGCTTCAAGTTTGCTAATTGAAGAAGATGAGTTAAACACAACTTCATGTGTTGGTAAAGTAGAGGAAGGTCATGCCTAATTATTGACAAATGTAGATAAAATTATAAGCCAGAAGGCAAAAGGTTCAAAGATTTTAGGAGGAGAAATGGAAGGAGAGATTCATTGGGCTAGGTTTACCATGAAGATGGGAGTATATTTCTCTACCAACCACTAATAGAATTGGAGGAATCATAATTCTATGAGATAATTATTTGGTGTGGTGATAGCTAGCTTGAGTTTTGAGAAACCTTCCATAGTATGATGGCAAAGACTCAAATCAGTTACTTACTTCTTAGGAAGACTGATAGAGGTTTACGCAAGGACAACAACAAAAATAACATACCTAGTGTAATCTCACAAGTGAATATGGGAAGGGCGGTTTATACGTAGCTTTACACCTATTTTGCGAAGGTAGAAAGGTTGTTTTTGATAAGCCCTCAACTCTAGAAGTTTATGTAAAGACCTAAGTTGCGCGGACTCTTCATTTTTGTAGGCGAACCCGTCTCGACACGACTCTGGTGCGGGTGCGGGGTGTGTGTCGGATTCGGTCAATCCAATCCAGACACTATGACCGAAGCGAGAAAAGATTGGGGAAGAAAAAATCAATTTCCGACGACGTAAAGAGTACAAAGCTTGAAAAAGTATAGAGAAGAGAGAAGAGAAGAATAGAAGAAGAGAAAATCAGTATCTGGCGATAACGCCAGCGACAACGCCGGAAAGTTGAGAACTACAAAGAACTGAAAAGAGAAGAAGAAGAGTTTTTTTCTTGAAAGTTGAAACAAGTAAAAGAAATATGTATTTTTCTTGAAAGTTGAAACAAGTAAAAAGAAATATACATACATAGCCTTTTTTTAATCTTTCTTGAAAAGTACGTGCTCTTTACTTTTTCTTGAAAAGGTACATTGACTTTTTTTAAATAAGTACACGGTCTGCAGGGAGCCAGAGAAAGGTTTTTTTTTTTAAAAAAAATAAGTGTAGTTTTATTTAGTACTTAGTGTATATATCAAAGTGTGTTAGTACTCTTACGTATACTCAAGTGTATTACATAAAATGGGATGAATGAAGTAATAAGATTCATACCATTAAATTATACTATAAGTTATATTAAAATTTCCTTTTTAAATAGAGATTCTATTGGAAACAACTTTTTTACCTTATATAGATAAAAGATAAGATATTTATACATTTTACATCTACAAATTTCATTGTAAAATTATATTAAATATATTATTATTATTTTGTTAAAAATATATTATTATTATTTTGTTAAAATTTCAAATTTTAACACGTAATGTGTAAATTTTAAATCCACACAGACTAGACGTTATAAGCTATAAGATTAAGAAGTAGAATATCTTCATAACTATATTTTTATAATATTGAAATTTTTTAGCCGTATCCCCGCATCCGTATCCATACTCGGATTCGCACCCATGAATCTTAAAATTTGGATTTCGCCGAATCCGACTCTCGGATTCGCATCCGTCTGGGATACCCGCACCCGAGTCCGAGCAACTTAGGTAAAGACTATAAAGTCATTTCGAGTGAGAACCTCATAAGCATAAACTCTTGGTAATAGATCTAGGGATTAGAAGAAAGAGGAAAGGAGACTTTGTATGACCAACCAAGGATTAGGTGAGGGGCCTGACTAAGGATAAAATTCAGGAGTTAGGAGAGAAGTTGATGACTATGAGGGCTTGGGAAATTGCGGGGGATGCAAATAGTTTGTGGACTACGACAATTAATTGTATTAGGGGAACAACTTGAGGGGCGTTAGCGGTCTCGAAGGGTAATTTTGGTGGTCATAGAGGAGGTTGGTGGTGGAATGGATAGGCCCAAGGGAAAGTGGAAGCCGAGAAGATCGCTTACATTAAATTAGTGGAAACCTTTCATCTTTTAGGGTGATTGTTGGAGCAATACATGGATGGGGAAAAAGATTTATGTATGGTGTTCATTGACCTAAAAAAGACCTACAACAAAGTCTTAAGGGAGGTTTTTTGCGGAGATGCATGAAGTCTAGAGGTGTACTTGTGACATACATTAGTGTGATCAAAAACATATATGACGGAGCCAAAACCTGATTGAGAACACTGGGAGGAGACCCGAAACACTTCCATCGAGGTGATCAACTATTAGCGTGTTTTTACTTTTCATGATGATGGATAAGTTGCCACAACATATTTGAAGAGAGGTACCATGGTGTATGTTATTGCAAATGACATAGTATTAATTGACGAGACACGCAACAATGTTGACAAATGACAATAGCTTGGAGGTTTGGAGATAGTTAGGTTTAGTAGGACTAAAACAAGTACTTGGAGTGTATGTTCAGTGACGCAACAATGAGAAGGGTGTGTATGTGAGGACTGGTACACAAGTTATCCCCAAGAGGGAGTTTCAAGTATCATGGGTCAATAATCCTAGGGAATAAGAAGATTGACGATGATGTCACATATCATGTTGGATTGAGGTGGATGAAAAAGAGACTTGCATTTGATATTCTATGTGATAAAAATGTGTCACCAAACTCAAGAGTAAGTTTTATAGAGTGTTTGTTACATCGACTATCTTGTATGGGATAGATTATTGATCATGAAACTCACTCATCCAGAAAATGGAAGAGACGAAAATAAAGGATGCATAGATGAATGTGTGCATATTAGGAGAGACAATATTAGGAACGAGGATATACTGGGCAAGGTTCGCCCCTGGTGAGGACAAGATGGTTTAACTATGCAAAGAGAAGTGCAGATACCTAGTGAGGAGGTGCAAAGGTGTCGGTGATATTCCTAAGAGAGGTAGAGATAGATCGAGGAATAGTTAAAGGGAGGTGATTAGATAGGACATGACACACTTTCAGCTAATTGATGACGTAATCCTAAATAGAGTGCATGGATGTTGAAGATTAGGGTGGAAGGTTTGTAGGTAATCAGATGATTTTTTCCTTTTTCTTTGGCAGAGCATAGAGCACCTTATTCTTTCAATTTTACTCTTCTACATTACCTTGATTCTTTCAATTTTTTAGTACAGTAGTTTTTTCTTTTACTTTGGTTATCTTTTCTTTTTTGCATTTGATATTTTTCTTTTCCTTAATAGTCTCTTCGTATCTTTCTTTTCTCTTGTATTTTTCAAACCTGTTTTGCAAATCACTTTTCTTATAGCCGAGGGTCTATCAGAGTCTCTTTGCCCCACAAAGGTAGGGGTAAGATCTTAGTGCACCCACCTTCCCAAGACTACACTTGTGGGACCACATTCGATTATAATTGATGTAATGATGGTGGTTGTATAAGCATATTGTATTTGATTTTCACTCAATCTGTGCTGTTCTCTCATATATTGTTTATTATTTTTCAATAATTTCTTGGGTTTAAATGCAAGAAATGAATAAACAGACTTGTTTTGAGCCCATTCTAATAAAGGACTATCACTATACCTTGGGTGGTGACTTTAATGCCTATAGATTCTTATGAGAAAAAATTGGGGATATAGTCCAGCTATATAAAAGATATCTGATAGTTTTCCCAGCATATGGAGTCAATTGATCCTCCTTTATTTTAGTTATATTTCAATAAATGAGATGCGTGCCTCTTGGCTGGATAGTACCCCTCCAGAGAGTAGTTTCAGGAGCCTTCTGGTACAGTTACAACCGGTGAAGCACCTAAGCATCTAGCTCAGTATAAAGCCAAAATGATTGGAAAATCTGTTCTAGGAGGGCCTGTAATAACTGGGAAATCGAATGTTTGTCCTCACTGCTGAAGGAATAGATGAGGTAAATAAACCATAGAAGAATTAGATGCTACATTGAGGACTCAGAAAAGTGATGCAATTTTATAGTTAAATCATGCTGTAATTCCCTAACTGCCTCAAGTAGTATCAATGAAAAGAATCGTGGAAGTTGATTGGAAAACCAAAGTTGCTAGTAAGGTTGGTCGCTTAGTAGGATAGGTGCTGGTAGTGCTTCTCTGACACAGAATAATCTATGGAAAAGAGGCTTTTAACTATGCAATTGGTGTTATCAAGGTCAGCAGTAATTTGAGCATACTAACATTTTTTTCCCACTTCCCCTATGTCTTTCAGTTAAGAAGACTCACTCTAAGCATATATGGGATGAAATAAGTCTCGTCTAGATGAATATGTTAAGAGAATTAATTTGAAATAGGTTGGGAAGTTCTATCTTCTGAGAGCACAATAATTGTTTTGGTGTTGTTTTGGAAGGAAGACTAACAGGAGATAAAGAAGATATGAATCACAGGTCTAGACTGTCTTTTGGGAAAATAATCAGAGGTGTCCTGAAGGTTAAATGGGTTCTGTATATAGCTTGAAGTACAAGAGTCTGTATGTAATTGCTATGTGGTAGAACCTCAAAATATATCTCGAGAAGGTTAAGATTTTTATATACAGAGCACAAATATATGCGAAAAATTTACATAACTCAGTTCCTTTATATAGATCTTTTGTACCTATCTAGTTGTAACATAGTGCTGGTTGGCTATTACCAAAACTTTTGCTAGTTATGTGAAAAGGTAGTAATTTTTAATGACATCCGGATCGCGGAGAAGAAATACTTTATCTGTTTGTCATATATTGAAGACGTCAATCAAGACAAGTTTTTAAAATTTATCAACCTAGACAAATTTGAAAGGCAATTCCAGCAAAGGAAAATGGATTGAAGGATATACTTGGAACAGTTACCATTGAGTGGATTTGAGCTTTTCTTCCTACAAGTTGTAAAGGAAGGGTATAGATCAAGTTGAGATTGGAAGATTATGCAATATGCAATTTTAGCAGTCAAGGGTTGGAAATATTTTAGCAAGCACTTTGGTCCTTAAATTTTTCTCTCATGCCAGTTGTGATTAGCTTAGATATTACTAACTAGACAAAATCTTGCGTATCATTTGCAAAAATAGTGACTACACGCAAGCATGAGGTAGACTTCCTTAACATACCTGCTCAAGTGTCGGAATATGTGGAGAGAAGTTTGAAACTATATTCCGTACTGCTCAAAGAGAGAATGATATAGCAAGGTCCAGATACTTAGCATACTTACTAAACCCTGAAGCATTCAACAGCTTCAGTGAGCTATCTATAGTGTGCTTGTGTTCATGCCTTTGAGCCTTCCCATCCAATTCACAGTTCTCTGAACCTGCAGTCTGTAGTATGCAAGTACTCGACAAAGCTTTGCTGAGCTGTTCTGGCTCCTTAATAACATCCTTGATGTTATATTAACCAAATTCAACATCATCAAAGATCAAACTCTACTTTGCCTGTTGTGCTCCAATGGCTCATTAATAAACATGACTCCTGGAAGATCCTTATTTGTTCAGAGACTGCCCTTATGCTGTGCTCGTAAAATTCATGAATGATAATATATGACAGACATTTCCCTATTGTGTAGAAACTGCACTTTTCTTATCTGTGATATGGCTGGTGTTGCAGGTCATTCACGCATCTCGAACATGAGATGCAATTGTTAAAACTGCAAATTCACAAGAAGAATGCCCTAGAGGAGGCATCATTTAATTTGGAGGATTGTTTCCTTCAGTTCAGTATTTGGGTTTAACAAGCCTAATATAAAATTGTAATTCATCTTGCAGCTTGTAATGCTAATGTGGAGCTATATTAGGGTAGTAGTTCAGGATCCTGGTTCTGTCCCTGAAAACTGGAAACTAGTATCGGAGCAGAACATAGAGGAGGGCAACTCAGTTGCTTTATCTGATTATGCATCAATCGAGAACCCTACTCCAACATTATCAACTGAACAGATAGAAAGAAGACAGTCTCAGTCTAGAGGCTATTGCAGTAAATGCCAAAACGGCAAGCCACCACGTTGTCATCACTGTTCTGTTTGTACGTGCTAGACTGATTAAATATTTGCTTATTCCCAAACTCTGATTGTACAGATAGAGTTTTCCTTTGTCCCTCAGCGGAACTATAGGTGATAAAATGGGTAAATGGATTGAAATGAGTTGTATGATTCTTCAGCCATGCTCATTTGTAGCCCATATTTTAACTGTTTTGTCCATTTTCCACCTCTAGCCCAAAGGAATAGCATGTCTTGGAGTGCTACACCCTAGGATCTTTATCTTAATCCTTATCTGGCATATTTGGTGTGAGATGAGAGGTTTACTTTCGTATTCATTTCTCTTTTCTATTGTCTTTAGACATTTCTCCTGTCAAAGTATGGTCGTTTTGGGTATGCATATTTTCCCATGAATTCGCATGCACGGTGATTTTTATTTCTCTGTACCATGTCTTAGAAGTGTCCGCCTTATTATTTACATCATTTTATCCCTAAGACCTTTTGTTCTATGGCTATCTTGGCATGTCTCAGTTTGCAGTAGTTAGGAACTTATATGTCCAAAAACTAATATCTGCTGAACTGAAAATTCTATTTTGTCTTGTAGGTCAAAGATGTGTTCTTAAGATGGATCACCACTGCATATGGGTTGTCAATTGTGTCGGAGCTTGCAACTACAAGTTTTTTCTCCTTTTTGTGGTATGGAGTTGGCTTTTGAACATTTTGCTTAGTTTTGTAATGCTTTTTGCAGAAAAATCTAGAAGAAACACACCTGCAGTATTCTTGCCTGTGAATGAGGTCCTGAACATGTCCGTATCCTAAATATGGTGAATCTATAGCGGCCTACTTCTTGCTACTATTATTTGGTCGCCGTTATAGTTATGCCATTCATTAAAAGGTCTTTAAAGTAATTTTAGATAGAAAGTTGATGCAAGTTCACCTTGTTATATCCATTTTGGGATTATCTGTTTCCTCTACATGTTTTTGCCTACTGAAATTTTGGTGACCGAAATTGACTTTAAGACCTTTTCCATTAATTTGGTGTGAAAAAGTTATGCTGCTTTCTTTAACAGCTCTCTTGATTTTTGATAAATGCATGACGATTTTGAATTTTTTTTTTGATAAAAGCATGAGGATTGAAGTTTTATTATAAGGCAACTGTCTTAAATTATCTGTTCTGACAAATCAAATCAGTAAGTAGTAAGTATAAACAAGCCAACTTATGTCACTCAATCAACTGTGATACCCCATTTTGGAGTTGTCATATGACTCCCTATATCTATTCTTCTCATTAGGGGCCAGTCCTTTTCAATACTTGCAAATAGTTTGTCTTTTAAGGTAGATTAAATCTTCTCTAAAAATCTGGTTTCATTGATTTGACACATTCCAATGAAAAGCAGAGTTTTACTAAATTTCACACCTTCCCAATAAAAAGTAAAGGTTCACTAAATCTCAAGCATTTGCAATTACTGAAGATCAATTTTCTTGCTAGACCAAAAAGCTTTGGTGAACAAATGGTCTAACTCTTAGTGTAGGAGCAACAATAATTTATCGTTAATCTCAAGTTGGTTTCACATATATAGCTCCTTTTTTCCTTTTGAGTGCTGTTCTTAGGGGCATTCATTTCTAGAGATTATAGATGTTTTAAGTTAATTTCCTTCCATTGAATTTTAGATTCACTTTGTCCACTTTTTAGTACCTTAAACATTATCAACTATAATGGTGCATTTGCATGTCTAAGAAGAAGCCAAATCATCTAAAATGACTTCTACTTTTATTTTTATTTGTGCTATCTGCATCCTCTATCTGATTTAAGCATTCTAATTAAGTCCAATCATGAATGATCACACATTTTACTTAACGTTGATAATTTACAACTCTTAACTGGAGGATACTTTGAACTTTACTGACCCAAATTGACATCATATAATATTGTCTGCATAGGACTTCTCAATTTCAACAATTTCTGCTTTTAATTTATGAGTATCCATTACATTCTCCGAGAAGATAGGGTGCAGATGCTTGAATTATCTGCATTTTGATACCATAATCACATTAGCTCACTTCTTCCTTTATTCTTATATGAGGACTAAACTTGGAGGTTGCAGCACATATATTATGTCATACTTTAGTTATCTTAAATCCTAGTTTTCTAGGGATGCATCTCCACAGAGACAACATATTATTGACTTTTCAAATAGCATGCACTAAGATATTTTTCCCTGTGTGCTATTGGTTAGGTCATCCATAAATAAAGTTGGCAAGTAGGAAATTAAGGAAATCTCTGATGTATAACCACAGTTATAAGAAACTCCTCTTGTATTTGTTTCCACTATTCTCAACTAGTGACCACTTCTATATGAATACTCTTTATTGCATTCATATATTTGATATGCTTTTCTTTTTACTGAAGCACCAACCAGATGATTAGACTTTGATGCTTTACCACCTGCTATTTCCGAGTCTATGTATATCACGAATATCCTTCTATTTGAATTTTCATCAATATTTTTGATAAAAAAATATGGTATCTGAGTAGGTATAAACCAAATTTGCTCTTTATCCTTGCAATGTGTCTAAGCTAATGCTCTATCATTCGTCCAAAAAATTTCTAGGACACCTAAAGTTAATAACGTGAGAGTTTGCACACATTTGAATATCTCTTTTATTCTTTCTATTTTGGGACAAAGACAAGACTTTTTCCGCTCATTGAAATCTTTTCATTCTTTAATTCAAGACTTTGGTTATTTTCTTAGCTATGCTTCCACAACCACCTCCAATGAATTTCTAGACCTCTATAAGGATCAGATTTGAGCCATAGGTTTTTTTTTCGCTTTCATATGCTTTATACATTTTGCTTCAATATACTCAATTTTGGTCATACTAGCTCATACTGCTTTATACATTTTTCCCTTATTGCCTAGCTTCTGATACAACTCGTGTAAGACTTGTCTTCTTTTGTCTTTTAGTGTCTTAGCCCTCTTATACTCTTTAAAGAACTCTCCATCTTCAAGGCTGGGAACTGCACTTTAATTTTTTAGCTCTTAACTGTTACTCAGATTCATTGTTCTTCCACCAAGTTCTTGTGGTAATGTTCATATGTCTCAAGACATAGCTAGAACTTCACTTGCTATTTTCTTATGTCAACTTGTCATTTCTCCCACCGAGTATTTGAATTATCTTCTTTGTCTCTTGCTTCCTCTTTCAATAGCTTGTCTTTAAATGCTATTTCATTCGTACCTCTTATTCTCCACCACCAATTTCTCAATGGTGTGTAGCTTCTTTCCTTTTTCCTTATGCTTGTTTACTTCACATCTAGAAGTATTAGTCTCTGTGGGGGTGGTTTGTGCTTTTCTTGATGTATTATATAGTCTTACATGTAATACTATCACTTTTTCTGACAAGGATAAATTTAGTTTCTCTTCGGGTACCTCCAATTGTTAATCGTTATCAAGTGTGATTCCCTCTTTATAGAGTTAATGCAGTTCAAACGAACGCACAAGGAAACCTCTAAAATATTATTCCTTCAATCCTTATGTGACACTTTCTTTTTAGTCAACCTCAAGAGGAATGACACCTTTTTATATTTAGGAACAGTTTGATTTTAAACTCTATTGTACCTTGGTGAGTGGTGACATGATTTTATGGTCTCATAAATGTCATGACATGTTCTAAAGACTGCATATTGCTCTTCTTTCTTTCTCAAACGCCTGGGCGTAGTCAAACAACTTCATATTGCAAAAACATCAGTGTATTCAGCCACATGTCTATTTAGATCTTGATACTGATCTGGGATTCTTTGAAACAAAGTATTTCATGTTTTCTTAGAATTGTTTTAGTTTTTCATTATATGCACACATGATGTTGATTGTCTCATATTCTTGCACTAAACTTGACGGGATAGTCCTGTCATCCGTTTTCTTTACTTGTTTCTCAACCATCATAATTTATAGATATATTGATTAATATCTATTATTATCTTGGTAAAGCATTAAAAAATGCATCCAAGGTTATTACAAATACTTTGTTCCAATTTATATGTCATAGTTTGAATTGCCACAAAGTTTAAGAAGCAAAAGAAGTCTTTTAAAACATGTGGTCTTAGAAATGCCATAACATTTTTGTGGCTGTCATACTTTTGGACTTCTGATCTTTAGTATACCATAACATTCATGTGGTTATGAGGCTTCTCATTAAGGGAACAATGGAAGTGTAAGGTAAATTGTTTCAAATTTTGAGTTGTCAATTCTTTTTGGAACGGACTTAAAAAGGAAAATGTGTCATATAAATTAGAATGGAGGGAATAGTATAAAATGAAAAGCATAAGAACATTATGACCTCTAAATATTTATTGCTGTTCCATTTATTTTTAACAGGGTAAAGACTGCTAATTTATCTAAGCAGTAAATAAAACATGATTTTTTAAAATCATTAGGGCATTTTTATACTCAAAGTATTCTTGGATTTTATACATTTTCATTTCATATATGTATAAAATTATATTATTATACTTAAGACCAGTATTTAAATAAACTTTTTCCATTTCGGAAATTGATTTTTTCATATGATGCATTGCTATCTTATGTTTCCATGCTCTTCTTCTTACACTATGTAAATGTGATTGTATAGACTTCATTTTATACATATGTATTCAATTAGCTTGATATGATTATGCAAAACATTATGTAAAACATAATATGTTTTAATCCCTACAGGTACTAAGTAATTTCTTTTAATGTTTAATCAAGATAACAACATATAACATGTCTACAAGATTATAAAATATGTAATAAAAGATAGTTTTTATACCTTATTTCTTCTTGTTGATAAATAATTTTATCAATGCCGCAACATTTCTCCTTTCCGGCTATGAATAGTATTTTTCGCCTTCACACCTTCGGCTACTTTCGAACTATTCCTCCTTCAGGCTGGAAATCGCAACTTCCACTTTGAACTATTTATTAAGTTTGAAGAAAATAGATATATAAACTGACTTTTATTTCATATATAATAATTTCACTTACATATTATAAGTATATATCTTGATACAACATTAATAGAAACACTTTTCCCTAACGGGAGAAGTTACTTACTCATAATTTTAACTCATAAAATATTCTTAACCTTTCTTACTCTAAGACTCTCTAACACTCCACACTCGACTGCCCCTATCCATATGAAACTCTACTCCTTATATATATATTCGGAGGGGTCTATTTACAATCAACTTTTATTTAAAGGACATCCTTTAAATATTAAATTTTTATTTATTGGCTCTTTCGAGTCAAAAGATTCCTTGTTGATAACTTTGCTTTATGTCACATGTGCTGCTTTCTGTCACTGGCTGACAGGATATGATTTTTCTTTTCTAAAGAAAAACATCTTCTTTTTCTTTATGTCTTTTTCTTCTTTTGTTAACGTAAGTGCTTACGTTTTGTGTATGATTACGTAATTGCTTACGTTCTTCATCGATCTTCTCCTTCATTGATCATGGTTGTGTTCTAGCATCTTGCATGCTAATTTCCAAGTCTCCTCTGTTGCTCCTAATCTGTGGAGCTCAATATCCAGAATTCTTTCTTTGAGTATTTCTGATTTTGATCTTCCTTTGGTGATAAGAACCCAATCAGTGTCTTGATCTATCACCCTGAAATCATCTTTGTAAAATCTATTTAGAATAGCATATAAGGCTTTTATCCCTAATGCTCTTCTAGTTTGTATCCATTTCTTGTTAAGATAAGAAAGTTTTTTGTCTACTCCCGTAGCCTTAACATTAAAATCTTTTATTTTTTCAACAGAAATGTAGTTGAGTGTTGGATAGTATGCTTGC